CATCTGGTGAAAATTTCATGTCATTAGCACCTCTAGTAATATATTTACTGAAAGAAATGTTGACGTGTTCAATACTTATTTTACCTGCTGTAACATTCATATTTAAAAGTTATAAAGTAAGAAATCAAAATGTTTACTCTCCATGCAATTTATTTTCTTTTGTTTTATCCTCAGTGAAGTTCTCAACACGTGTTTCTTGGAAACAAAAAAACTCCTCAGTTCAAAAACGCTCWGGAAACCACAAAAACCAATGAAACCACTAAACAATGAAAGCAAATAAAGGCACAGACCTAAACCWGCATGACTTCACTGAAACAATTAAAGATGAGCAAGTGCCATCACACATTTTCATATAAGCAAAAAGTGGGGTTGTGTTTTATTTTATTTTATTTATTTTTTTGCTGCTGTTCTGGTAAGACTTGACAGCTGAGTTTGACACCTCCAGCAGTACTTTGCTGCTGAGTCTCTGGAGGGGATAAAACAACAGATCAAATCAGAAGGATGAGTACGACAATACCCTTCAAGGATGTTTCTCAATCTATTTATTGCTCATCATATCGGTTTTACTCAATATGTTGTTGTATGCTGAGACTGTGTTTATTGTTACAAGCACATGGCAGGAAAAGAAACTAAATATTCAAATTTGCAAAAAGAGATTGAGTCACAAATMATGCGTCAAAATTAGCCACTGTATTAATATTTTTGAAAAAAGAAAAACTTTACGTTTCCCAAGTATAAATTGTAAAACTTGATGAAATCCTGTTTTATGGAGTTTCTTTCATTTTAGAGCTGTGTATAGCCCTGTTTCTTTTAGACTTTAGTGCCCTCGTGTGGTCTTTAAACATCTAACGTCACCTTCACAMACTGGTTGAATTTTTGTTGCCCTCAGAACAAAAGGATGATACTATATGCTTATAAAAACAGAAAATAAATGTATGTAAATCATTTAGGATAATATACATCAAAGGTYGTTTCTTAAATCTTTAATTTTCCCTTTACGTGAACAATCTTTAGGCAAGAAAGAATATGTGATCATGATCATGCTGTGCACAATTTCCAAACCATATAAACTTTGATTTATTTTTTGACGCTTTCATTTTGAGTAACTGAGCTACATTGAACATGTAACCCGGTAATATATTCAGGATAAAATGGGCCAAAGGAGACTCTAAAACATCAGAAAGWGGTAAATTCAAACATACAACTAATACAATCTGTAATGTTTTATATACTTTATTCACTAACATAAGCCTTTATGAGAGAGTTTTTCAAATTCATGCAAAATTTTCTTTTGCATGAAGCCTTTTTTTAAATCAAACTATAGCAATCCTTGCAAGTTCCACATCCATATTTTCACACAAACATCAAAATGATGTTCATTTTCTGATGTGGGTTTCAACCATGAAGCAGAATTRTCCTTACAAAGAATGTGATGCAATCAAAAAGAAAAAAATTGTATAGGTCTTCTGGACGGGTTCTTCTCTAATGAAACGTTTCGTCTCTCCTCCAAGAGACTTCTTCAGTCTGAGAGTTTCAGGCAAAATTCAGGCTTTTAAGCACTGCCTCCATGTGACTGATACTCACATCACATGGCTATCGTTGACACCTAATTAACACCTATTAACAGGGGGTGGAGTGATACTGGCAATGGTCGCGCTGTAGGAGGGGGACAACTGAAAACGGAGGCCTCCACCTCTGTTTAATGATGGACGGTCTTTCTTTACAAAAATGGCTTCTTTTACTCCTCTCTCAAACCAACGTTCCTCTCTATCAAGAATGAGAACATCCTCATCTCTGAAAGAGTGACCGCTGGCCTGTAAATGAGTGAAAACTGCAGAGTTCTGGCCATTAGATGTAGCTCGTCTGTGTTGGGACATTCTTTTGAACAGTGGCTGCTTTGTTTCCCCGATGTATAACTGGTCGCAGTCCTCCTGGCACTTAACAGCATATACAACATTGCTCTGTTTGTGCCGGGGCACCGGATCTTTGGGGTGAACCAGCCTTTGCCGTAATGTGTTTTGGGGTTTGAAAGCCACTGGGACATCATGTTTAGAAAATAAACGTCTCAGTTTCTCCGACCTATACAATTTTTTTCTTTTTGATTTTTTACCTGGATTACTGAGATGCATCAGGACAATGTGATGCAATGTTTGATTCAAGTGTTCTGAAAAGCAGTTTTCACTGAATCATCAGTGATCAAGTCACAAATTATGTGGTTGGATTTTTTTTTTAAAAGAAAGTACGTTGGCTAGTGTTTTTCTGGTTGTGCCTTTAGTGGGTTTTTTCCTTCACTTGATACACTTACCACTTTTCAACCACAAGATGGCCCCAAATGCTTGTGGAGTTAAAACAGCCAGAAACCAAAAGCACTATAAAATGTTCTGTTTATATTTTAAAATTTTTGGCAGTGATATGCATCAAATAAAAAATATACATTTTTAATTTTTACTAGTTTTACTGTTACTGACTTTATAGCTGGTTATATAGGAAAAAGCAACACTGTCTTTTAACATTTTTGTGAACTTATCCTTCAAACTAACTTCTATGAGATGATTTGTTTCATCCATAATGCAGCTCTCTGTTGATCTTAGTGTTTTAATGGTCCTAATGTCTGATCTGAAGTACACACAGTGTTTGGTCTACTTTTAGAGCAGCAGGAGCCTCTCATATTGTTTTATCAGCAGATGGGTAGGACAGTAGGGGGAAGACCCCCCCTTGCTGATCTGTCCTGCACATTCCAGCATGTGACACAGGAGGTTGTCCTTGTCTGTAACAGGAGAGCTAAGAAAACAGAGGCCCGTCTTTGATATCTATATTCAGGATTGACTCTGAGACATCACACATGACTGACTGGAGATGAGCACAGGGTGATATTTTGGGTGTTAGGGATAAGAATGGTTGTAGCCTATATTGTGGTATTTAAAAAAAGTCTAGAAAATGCTGAGATTGTGAACTCTACGACTTTTGATACACATAAAGGGAAATCATATCAACCTCTTGTGTGTTTACAGACAAGGGTTCAAACTGTGTAACTTCCTTAATTCTTTCTTTTGGGACTTTTCCTTTTTAGGCAATGGGCTGCTGCCTTGAGGGCCCTCCTGGGATTCTGTGGGAATTCCTTAGCTGGTTTGCTTGGCAGTAGGTCTTCAATCTTCAAAAATGTTTTGCTTCAGGAGATTGGGAAAGAAAAGCCATTGAAAAATAAATAGACCTGTGCCAGAGCTGGGTTTGCAAATGCTAAACCGTCATTACTTTTCTTAAAGCTGAACTGATTGCTGAAGTATATCACTATGAAGTATATCACTATGATTAATTTATAAGGAGTATGATGTCATGTTTCCTTTCTGGATTAATGAGTCAAAGCCTCTGTGTCTGCGGTTATTATGCTAAAAGCGGAACTTTTCTGTCTAGTAAAGTTTACAGCGGCTGGAATTCCTCTCTCCGCTAACAGCAGACAAATATTTCCCTTTTTGGACATGTGGAGCTATTACGTAATTTACGGAGAGCTTGGATCTCTAGCAAACTCTGTAATGTGGAAGCGGGTGGTGCTGATGTTGAGCGACGCTCCAAACGACCAATCGGACGCAAGAGAACGCCCCCTGTCGCTCTCTGATTGGTCGACATTTAGGTGACGTTTAGGTTGCTCGCGCTCTGTCCCAGTCCGACTGGGTCTTCTTTTTTTTTTCTTCCTCCACATTGATGGTTTCACGGGAGTAGTTGAAGTCTTCCCGCTGTCCTCGGAAGAGAAGCATTCTGGGTCGTTTTAAGCTCCTCTGACGGAAAGTTTGGAGGAACTGTTTCAGGCGGAGTGAAATTAGTTTCGCGTAGTAAACTAAAAGCTGCCACAATGCCGGTTTTCCACACGAAGACGATAGAAAGTATCCTAGAGCCGGTGGCTCAGCAGATATCCCATCTGGTGATAATGCACGAAGAAGGTGAAGTTGACGGGAAGGCTATCCCGGACCTCTCGGCGCCGGTGGCTGCCGTCCAGGCGGCTGTTAGCAACCTTGTTCGGGTGAGTAAAGTCGTCCGAACTCGCTGGTTCGGTGGTGCTGAGCTCGACGGCGTGTTGTATCCTGCCTGGCTGCCTACCTGTCGCCTTGTGTCCCACGTTGTTCACTCAGCAAAGGTTAAAACGCAGCACTTTTTCTACCTGTAATGATAGTTACCTAAAACGTTTCTGTATTTTGTAATGAACGCTGCAGGAGATGAGTGGACATTTATAAAACTTTCCTAAAGTGGGTAAACTCGGGGCAAAGGGCAGTGACGCCCTTTTTCCCCTTGAAAATATGCCCTGCCCTCCTCTTGTGTAGCTGCCTTCTGCCATAGATTTATAGATGGAGGCACCGCTGTAGTTTATTTCTGAACATTTAAATGGAATAAGGAAATGTTCAGCCTTTTGTCTAACATGGAAAACATTAAAAAAAAGTGCACCATCCCTAAAAAACCTCATTTGCACATGAATCTAAAGTTAAAGTTAGGACTTACTAACAGTTTTCAGACTTTACCTTTTTGTGTTGATTTGATACGGCTTGATTGGAACTTATAATTCAATATACTTGTATGACAAAACTCAAAGAATCCAGTTGAACTAGTAGAAATGGTCCAAAACTTGAAGACCCTCCACCCTTTGATTTATTGTTTTTGACATTTTGCCTAAAACCTGGACCCACATATTTTAATATAACGTTTTTTAGTTTTTTTATGGCTTAAAAACAAAACACATAACTCCCTTTTGAATACATAAAACTAGCAGTTTTAAGTGTGACCTACATTTCTTAAAACAGCTGCTTTTAGTGACCATGGTTCCCTATCCTGTCTGTATTAGGGTTGGGCGATATTGGCAAAAAAAAAATTAATCACGATTAATTGTGGTATTTAGTCGATAACGATTAATTTGACGATTAATTCCCTGGAGTCCCTGGACACCCTTATGTCCTGGTCACATGACCAATTTAGTGGGAAATATTTGCTCTTCATAAAATCTGTTCCAAATTGTCAAAATTAAAGACTTGGGGCTATACATCAAATTTTAAATTTTGTTGATGGATAAATAAATTACAGAAATTTTTTTAAAATGTTCGCTATATTTGAAGCTGAGAGGAGCATTGAGTGGACCAACCAGGGAAGTATCCAGTCAGTCTGCCTGGTGGCATTAATCGTATTAATTTTCAAGTGCCAAAAAATAATCGATTAATGTTTTTCTGACGATTAATTGCACACGATACGATTATGCCCAACCCTAGTCTGTATTGTAAGTATTTAAGGACTATGACTAATATATTTCTAAAACACTCTTGGAAACCATGAAACGAGCACCCCTTGGCCAGAACATTTGTGGTTTGGTATAGTTTGGGTCAAAAATAGTCTCGCACACAGTCATGTTCCTAAGTTTTCATCATTTTCAGCATGTACGGAAATGACACATCTTTTTTCTTCTAATCTTTCCTTTCAACCCGAAGCATTGCATGACAAGTTTTTCCTCAAATGAAACGAGTAAATAAGGCCAGACTGTCATGCTGTGGCATTGAGCAGAAAATTAAGGACACAGGCAAAATTAAAACAGACATTTTAACAGTGGGTTGCTTCCTCTGTCAGTCTGGCCAAGTCCAAATCTCCCAGGCATTTATTGGACGATAAATTTAWACAATTACTCTGGYTGCAGCAAAGGAATGTTTCATTTAGAGGATCTTCAACTCAGTTCCCTGCAACTTATTTATTAGGTTTTATAGTCTGTAAATGTTTCAAGCTTGTTAGCGTCGTTCAGTGCTTCCCCCCCCCTCTTTAATGCCCACTCCAAAACGACAGGATTTCACCTCATATTGGCTGTTATTTATGTCTACACCCACTCAGCTTCCTTCCTCCAAGGGGACAGAGATGGGTAGATGGTAGGTTTGTGGCCTCTGACAAAATAAGAAGCTGGAAATCAGTTAACCAACGTCAACACKGCTGGAATAATTTCTTAACCGGTCATGTTTTTATAATCAAATCTATATAATCAATATAGAAACCTAAAAATAAAAACAGAACCCGTCTGAATGAAGCTGTGGTTAGTAAAACCTGACACACAAATAAGTCCTCGTGTAGAGATGAAACAGCGCAGGCTTTCCTGGACATTTCTTTATTATAATCAGATGTTTCCTACAGTGGTCTGATTGAACACGAGTCTGTAATTATTTCCAGTTGCTGTAGCAACATTACAACATAATACAGTGTTATGAGATCACTGAAGACGAGGATCCGATGCAGTTTATTCTGGTTTCGGTCCCATGAGTCATACGTTGCAAAGCTCAGTGTGGCTTCTGTGTTTTACCTAAAAAAAAAGTTGATTTGCACATATTTTGCCTTTTCTAAAAAACATGGAGATGATATTAAAATAAATCTGTTGGTAGAAGTCAAATCATTACTGAAAAACCCATCGCTTGCATGAAAAGAAACATGAAAAAAGACAATTGCAAATGTTTCAACTATGTATGTTTCTGTGTTTCCCAGTCAACCACATGTTGAGCAGATTTTCTGCTTTCATCACTTCTGTTGAAAGAAGTGTGAAGTAGGGTTGGGCAATATTGGCAAAAAAATAAATCACGATTAATTGTGGTATTTAGCCGATAACGATTAATTTGACGATTAATCCCCTGGAGTCCCTGGACACCCTTATGTCCTGGTCACATGACCAATTTAGTGGGAAATATTTGCTCTTCATAAAAATCTGTTCCAAATTGTGTCAAAATTACAGACTTCAGGCTATACATCAAATTTTAAATTGTGTTGATAGATAAAAAAGTTACAGGACTTTTTTTTTTAATGTTCGTCATATTTGAGGCTGAGGGGAGCAGTGAGCGGATTCTACCTGTTGGCATTAATCGTAAAAGTGCCAAAAATAAATCGATTAATGTTTTTCTGACGATTAATCACACACGATACGATTAGGCCCAACCCTAGTGTGAAGACAGCTGCTTAAGATGGATTTTGAGCCGTACCGWAAATAATTTGAACCAAAATCGAGGTCAATTACAAGAGACCGGATTCAGTAGTTCTAATAGATTTCCTAATTTCCAGACAAAATAAAGTTTTGATGGATAAACCTGTTGAAGAACATCAGGTGCGAATGTGCAAAACTGGAAATTATTCTCTTCAAAGAGTTTAATCTCATTATTCCGGATGCGTGGAGGTAAAAGGTGCAGATGTGACCCAGAAATGAAAGTTTGGCAAAACCATGAGCTACATGTGGGTTTAAGCAAAAGCTTTCCATAGAAGAAATGTTTTTTTTTTTTTKTTTGTTTTTAGTTGAGACAATGAGAGGGACATCAATTAGAAGTGAATGCAAGGAATGTGAAGAAATTCCAACATGCAGGAATGTAACCTGACTCAGAAGGGGGCGACCACATATTAAACAGCACTATCTGGGAAGCCCTCAGCTTTGAAGTGAAAAGAGGAAGGTTGGCTTCATTTCTATTTGACCTATGATGCACGTCATCTTTTCATTAAAGCTGGTCATCTGCTGCAGGATAATTGTCTGTAGCATGCCTTAAACATTTGTGCTAAAAGTAAAATTTGTGCGAATGAATGCTTTTTTTTTTAGGTTTTGCTAGATTTAACTTTAGTTTTAGCCATTTTTATTTACGTTTTGAGAGTTTTATGTACCTTACAACTAGGAACAAATGTATATTAAGTGAGTGTGCATTAAAGTAGCTTCCTGCTGAGGTAAATGGAAAGTTTTTATTTACATATTCAATCAATCATTCAATTGTGATGTGCAGCCTTTTAATGCACGGCCTCTTACACATTTTTACATTTATAGATATTTTCTAGGAATAGGAGAAGTAAAAAAAAACATCAGATTTTACGAGTAAGGGTTTGTCATGACAAGACTTGTGGATGCTTTSATTGCTGTCCGTAAAAGTTTCTCTTTTGCAATATTCCCATGATTTTATGCGACACCACGACTGTGCAGGTGCAGACAGAAAACTGAGAACAAAACAACTGTTTTGTAATTCTCCTAAATGTCTTTTTTTTTTGCAGTTTCCTAAAACTTTGATTATTAATAGAATTGCAGAAACTTTGAAATGAGGAAACATTTTAGAAATTTGGGTGTTTTCGTTGTTTTTAGCTGCACTCTTAAAATTGTTTAAAATTATTTYTGGAAGCCTTTTAACAGACAGGAAACTCATTTCTCAAGTGCTTTAAAGCCATACAARAGCAAACGGTTCCTATTACCTGGTGCTCAAGCTTCCTGTTTGACAAAAGGAACTATTTGATGTTGCTTAATTCTTGATTATGTCATCTTGGGAATTTTCCAGAGGTTGTGTAGTTCCATTGAAAACAGCCGCTTGTAGTCTCTACACAAATAAAAAAGCTGCTTTGATGATTCATAATGCATCTGCTGCAATCCTTTTCTTTTAAATGATTTGTCAGGATAGAGTGACTCGGAGGAGTGTGTTGAAAAGGAAACRCAGGAAGCCAAGTCAGGAAGACCCGTCAGCTGTGTGCTCCACTCTGGGACAGGATATGTGCTGTCTGATGCCGCTGATCTGGACAAGAAATACATTGCACCTGTGTTGTCACTTTTGGAGAAAAAAAAAAAGAATAAAAAGTGCCCAGTATTTAAAAGAAGTAGAGGATCATCAGAATGCACAGTAAACATTGCGTGATCTTATTTTGGATTAGAACAAGACATTGTTTAATCTGGATTAGTGATACTAATCATTTCTGTGTGTGTCTGTGTGTGTGTGTGTCTGAATTAGACCAGTGTTGATCTAAAAACGTCTTCTCTGTACTTCAGTAGAAGTAGGTTGAATATATTTATTCAGATGGGACTGTATTCAGATAATAATATGCACTGGTCGATGTTGGTCCAGTTAAAAATATAAACTTATCAATGATTTTAAGTCATCTAACTTGACTTATTGCTTTTCAACTTTTACTGAATTTGTCAATATTGTTTATCAAAGTTGAGTAGTTTAATTACTGGGCTTGCAAAAAAACAAATGTTATCTGATTTATGTGTAGGTAATAGGCTTTATTTGTAGGTTAAAGTATTTTATTTTTCTAATAAAAGACTCATTTTGTCTTCATATGGCAAATGCATTTCTTGCAGCATGGAAAAAAAAGGTTCATGTCTCTTTAGGGATACTCTKTTCTTACTTCCTCCCTAACAAACAGCAGATGCTTTCAGCTTCTCGTCTATTAGTAACCCTTGTTCTGTGGAAAACTGTAGGTGACTTATTTGATTGACTCAGTTTACTTTTAAAGCAGAGGCTGATGAGTGCTGCTCGCCCACTAACACTACATGAGCTGTTAAGCTCCTGCAACACCAGATACTTGTGATGTATTCTCCCCTGGCTGCAGAAGCTGTTTCACCACAGCCAAGCAGGCCATTTGATTTGTGACTTTCATCACCTCAGACGCGCCGTGTCTGACTACTTCCTGAGCCAAATTAATAAATATTGTTTGACACGACTTGGCATGTGCTTGATAAAGGCATTGACCTTTAGTGAAATCTGTCAGCTGCTTGAGTCATTATTAGTCAAATGAGAGTTGATATCTTAAAATGCAGAAGTGTTTGGTTTTATGGGTGTTTATCAAAGGTGTGGTAATTTTTTATTAGACGGCACTGCACTTGTTCTGAAACAAATTTTTGTGTAGAATAAAAATGCGTTCCGGTTATGGTTTTTTAAGAACAAATTTGTTAGAATTGTGCTTCCATATAACTTTGTGGTCACTGACTGTTGCGTCATTGTGTYTAAAACTACTCATCATGTGAAAAGCAGGCTCTGTCTCGGCAACGTTGAAGCTTTCAGAGCGGACTTTCTTCCCTTGGTGGGATGGGCTGCTGTCAACAAAGCTACGCCTGTTCTAAAAAAGCAGCCACTTTATCAAGCTACTTCACAAAACAGKGTTTCTACTCGGAGCTCTTGGCTGGATAAAGGACAGTCAGTGTTTCCATCCTGGGCRCAAACTGTTAAATGAGGCTGACGGGCATTAATGTTGTATGTCAGCTTGGAAGAGGATGAATCTGTGTAAGATTTTAAAAAAAGAATAGAAGTGAACAACAGCTGCCTGTTTGTGAGCAGTTCTAGTCTATTCAGAGATGAGAGCAGTTTTTGTCGCCGTTTGGGTCGTGGGTGTCTTTTTACCTTTTCTCTACTTCACCAAATGCTTCATTAATGCTGCAAAATAAACAAAATGAGTGTTTATTAAGTATATTTTACCAGTGAATTTAATTGTATTGTTTTATTTTTAACTTCTCTTTGGGTTTTTGTCCTCAGTAGCCATTTTGATTTAAAAATGGCATCTTGGGATGCATAAAATAAAAGTATGAACTTGCAGGCCCTGTGACAGAACTGACTGTTGTTCACATTGAGAGAACATGGACTGAAATTGTGATGCAGGCCCAAAATAGTAAAAAGGGCCAGACTGCTTGACAACAGCTATAAACTGGGGTCTGACTGGATGACTTGGATGGCTRCTGCAGATTGTTTCTGAACTTCAGACAACAGGAAGAGGCCAAGTACGGAAAGAGGAAAGGGAACAGTGATGACATGTTGAATGCATCCTCAGCCTCGTATTCGCTCGCTCTCATAGATTCCTGCTCGATACGTTGAGGGGAGAATGACTCTGCTCATGATGTTCAGCCTCAGGCCTCCACACTATGGTTCTCCTTCACTTCCTCTTCGTCAGGCTTAGCTCCTGCCCGAACTTGACTTGAGCTTGTGTGAATTTTAGTGTTGTCTAAATTGTTCTGAGATTACTCAAGAAAGTGAAGCAAGCTCCTCTGTCAGAGAWTCGGTTCTGAGGTCAGCTCAACGTCTTATGTGTTACATTAGTTTCATGAACATTTGACTGTCACCAACGATGCTGTTGTATCCGTTTGGTCAACAACTCTACTCGGACACATAGGGGTTAAGTGGTTTTGAGGAATGCTTTTTTTCATGTCCTATGAAAGTGAAATTGCATAGCCTTTTCATTTTCTTGATTAACTCATCTCTTCCTCCTGAGTCTTACTTTTTTTTGCATGTGAAAATGTTTGCTGAATCTTGCTTCCTTATTTTTGTTTTTTGATATGAATCTTTACCCTGTTCTTGCAAAACACAGGCAGGGGGTACAAAAACAACCCAAATAAGCACTTTATTTGTGGTCTTGACTTTTATTTTCACAGTTCAAGACAATTGTATTTGAGAAAYGGACAAATCTCAAATGCATATTGTGTTGCTCCCTAGAGCAAAAGATCGGTGTGACAGTTCAACCTAAGTTGTTGCAGGCTCTTTTCAAAGCCTCTCATTTGTATAAWGCCATTGTGCATTATGTACACTGCCACTTGGCTTTGAACTGGACAGTTTCCTTAGCTGTGCTTGAGTTTAGTTTAGCACAACCTATTGCCCTATTTTATCCCCCTCGTTCCTCCCAAGTCCCCCCAGGCCCTGTGAAAAGGGAGTGAAAATACATTGTTCTGCTCCGTTACTGCCTCCATGAWAACCAGCTGGAATGGCTCTGCTACTGCCTGTAGTCTGACATGTTAACAAGCTTTCTGTGAGTTCTCACTACCGTATCAAAAAATGCACCCAGAGTTCAAATCAAAAGATTGTTTTCTTGTTGGCCTCTTTGGTCACTTGATTGGTCAAAGTGAGTTGGTGCCACTGACATGTTCTGTAACATGGTGACGTTTAGATGCATTTGTGATAACGTTCATCCAAAAAAAGATATGTTTTCCTTTTATGGGTGATGATGGAGGTCTTTTACTTAGGTTGACATGAGCAATGTTTCACTTTGAACACATTTAATCTCACCCACAGCCTCTTTAACGTGGGAGAGTAGAGATGCCAGATCTCACAAAGGTGAGGTCATGTTGTGTGGTGAAACAGAGAGGACCCGTTCACCTGCTTTTCACATTATAAATGTGCACAACTGCTGATAGCTGCTTTAGAGAAAGAACAGGACTGATAGTGAAGTATTGGTGCATCATAATGGAAAAATGACATACTTAAAAATTAATTCTGCCAGCTGGTTGCAAAGAGAGTTGAATTTAGAACATTAAGCACAGCTCTGATGTATAAACTGCTTTCATGKTACTTAAAATGTTTGGAATAGATAYAGCCTAACTTTGGTTTCAATATCAATCAGYTTCTTATAATTCTGCAAAATTATTACRTTTCTTTTTGTCGGCAAGGAGGTGACAAAATTAAATCAATATTTACAATGATAATGAACCAACACATGCAATTTCATACCTACAGTATACCACAAACTCATCAAGTAAAGATCACCATTTCAAATGTCACTTTAACAGCCCAGTCTTCTTAATAATTGCTGCTATGTAGTTTACTTTGCTATGTTGTTTACCTGCAGTGTCTGACCTGAACTATGTGCCCACTGCCCAGCAGAACCAGTTTCCAGTTTATGTAGRAAAAAAAGGTTGCCTGTGCTCGACGACTCGTCTAAAAGAGATGAAAAAACAAATGGCAAAAACAGGAAATTTGTTGACATTTTGCAGTAAATGATTTTGCTAAAAGAGTGTTTGTGTTTTCCAGGTTGGAAAGGAGACCGTACAAACCACAGAGGACCAGCTCATGAAAAGGGACATGCCACCAGCTTTYATCAAGTAAGCAGAGAACACATTAAACCAAAACTCGGGCGAACACCTCAAATGCAGTGTGGGACCCACAAGTCTTTTCTTTGGCTTTCTTTCTGTCTTTGTTGCAGTATTGGCTGGTTGTGTCCAGGCAAAGGTCAGCCATGGCATGTTAAGTGCCTCAGAGGCTTGCTCTGGTGTTCCTGAAATACCTTTTTTTTTTTATCTATGAGTTGCTTCACCTCACAGAAGCAAGTTGCTTGTCTCTGAATGCAGCTTTGTGTTCAGAGATAAATGAGGAGCATTTTATTTTGTGGGACTGTTGATGTCTTACACAGATTTGTTTTAAATGAAATGTAGGAGAGAGGGGGGATCCTGGGAGGCCCCCAAGGTCAGGGATGAAATGCGCTGGCAGGCACAGGTCGCCGGGGCTCAACACATTTGGCGCCTCAAAGTCACATCGTCACCCTGTCGTCATCCATCAGCACATGTGCTGGAATGCACCCCTCCTAACTAAATATAGAGTCTGCCAGGGTCCAGTTATTGCATGGCTGTTTCTAGCCAGTGCACTCTGAAATATGCTTCTGTCTCACACTGCAGAGACACGTACACAGTTTTATGATAGACATACAGAATGTAAAAACTTTTACTGTTGGGTCACTGGAGGAAAGTCTAAACTAAGATGCTTTGGTTCAGCTCCATTGCAGGACTTTAAAAATGTGGAAAATGTTAATAATGTTTCATTATTCCAACAATTAGCCTTTAGGCAGAAGGGGGAAGTCTGTGCATTGTGGGAACTGGAACACATGTCGGTCCTTTGGCCTTCTGCCTGTTTCCATGTGCAGGTTGGCTGTTGATACTACGCAGGTGGTGTGTATGACGATGAATCAGATGGCTGAGCCAGCAGATTTTCCTGCTCTGGAGATCAAGAAGTGCATCAGGCCCAGGAGGCCACTATTTAAACCATTTACAATTCTGCTCAGGCTGGTGATAAATGAGGTCAAGGCCAGGCAGAAGAGAGCCTGTTGATGCAAGTTAACTTTCATTTTATAAGAAGCCTGATAAAAGGCTTTAACTCGAAATCCATTTTTCCCCTTTTTTAATTTAAAGGAATAAAATAATAATTGATAGAGCTGGATGAGTTTGACTTCAAAATTCAGTATTACTTATTATTTTTGTTTTGTTTTAGTGTCAAAAATGTTATGCAAGTTTTTTTATTCAGGCTTAAGGTTCTACTGTAGTTTTTGCATAAAAGGTGACAAAAAAATGTTTGAAAAGAAAATGAAACAAGGTCACATTGTCACAGCTGCTGCTGCATCTCAAAGTTTCTGCCTACAGCTATTTACTGTTTCCTCTTGGAATGTCAGTCTGTCTTTTGAATCAACAAAATCTGAATCTGCATTATTTATTGTGGGGATCTTCTTTCTTTTAATGTAAATAATGCATCAATCATTTCCTGTTTTACAGAGTGGAGAACGCATGCACAAAGCTAGTGCAGGCTGCCTCCATGCTGAAAGCTGATCCGTACTCCGTTCCTGCTCGGGATTACCTCATCGATGGGTCTCGGGGCATCCTGTCTGGAACTTCTGACCTGCTTCTGACCTTTGATGAGGCCGAGGTAACGATTTATTGATTCTTTTATGTATTTTTTGCTTTGGTTTATATCTTTATGGAAAATATGTTTATTTGGAGAAATCCTGACAAGAAAATCAGAGGGAAGAATATTATTAGCACACTGTGGTTTTGATCCTGTTTTACTGTTAGACATCAGTATTTAGGCTTCAGTTTTTATGTAGCACTCATTAACATTCAGGAGGGGCTGTGTGAACCAAAGTATCAGATGATGTGAATTTGACAACAACTCAGTGACCAATATGTTATTCTTCAACTTCAGTGTTAAAGTAGCTAAAAATACTAAACACCCCTGTGATACTGTCAGTCGTTCTAACAGAAACAAGTTTCTCCATCCTAAATCAGACAAAGGTGTCGTGTATCAGCCCTGTCCTTCTTTTCTGCTCGGGGACAGCAACTGAAAGATAGAAGTTGCAGATCAGCAATCTGGGAGCACATATCAGGCATCCTGACACGTCTGCAGGAGTCAGCAGGAGTCATCAGTCAGCAGTGAAGTCATGTTTTATAATGCAGGTCAGGGAGCGTTCTGTGTAGTGTAGTGGGAGTTTTCAGCAGCCTACATAAAACTAGAGGGAAGAAGAATGTCAGTAGACAGCTTTATCAGTTTGTAATTAGAGGGAATGTGAGGAATAAGAGGCCAGTTGTGTTTATACAATCACTTGACTCCGAGAATGCAGCAATGTGTTTGAATAAAATTTTGTTGTCGATTTGTCATCTTATCCAATTATTGTTTTTATAGGTCCGCAAAATAATCCGCGTGTGCAAAGGTATTCTGGAGTATCTGACGGTGGCAGAGGTTGTAGAGACCATGGAGGACTTGATCACGTACACAAAGAATCTGGGACCAGGTCAGTTTGTTTATGTAGCACCATGGTGACAGTGAAACATCCTAACAGCGTCTTCTCAGTATATAAATTTATTGACTTATTGACTGATTCAGATCATTTAAACGTTAGGTTTAAAAAACATCCTCTCCTAAATGAGGGGTTATAYGAGTTGTGCAGCTATAGTTTAACGTCTGACAAATCCATAGTTTGAAAGTAACATACTATATCTTTTTATTGAAACATAAATCAGCATCAGTTAGTGTTGTAGTCAAGACCACCTAACCCGAGACAGAGTCAAGACCAAGACCAGTGCCCCACACTACAYGACACATTAAAATGTGAAACGTAATCAAAGGTGCTTCTCAAGTTGATCAGAAAAATCCACATTCCCATAAAAACACTCAGAGCTGAAATAAACTTAACCATCTTTATTTAGTACTCCTTGGTGACTTTCATTGTTTAGTACAGAATRTAAAACAATTATTCATTGTTCATCACTAAAGTCTACACTGTTCTCCGCCTTTCATAAACACAGGGTTCATGCAGAGTCTTAAAAGTTTAAGAAAGTCTAAAATAAGAAAATCTAAATTTTAGGTCTAAAAATGTCTTAAACGCCCAGATTTTCATCCAAGGTCTTAAATTTTATTATGTCAAGTCTTAATTTTTTTAACTTTCTATCATTCCTGGCTGCATAACTAGACGGAGTAAAGCGCTGTAATCAGAGGTTGACTCGATCTATCTTCATGAAGTGCCAAGTTTGCTACCGGTCCTGGTACATGGTTAAAATACAAATCCCTTTTAATTAAAAATAAAAGGTTTATGTTAAAATTTCTGTGACCATTTTAATGTTTCTGTTAATGCATCAGTTTGGTCTTAAATGTAATTCCTGATGGTCTTTAAAATGTCTTAAATTTAACTTACTGAAACCTGCACGAACCTAAACATAAAGTTTTGTTGTTTTTAAACTAAATAAAATAGGCAAAGATGGTAATAGATAAATTGGTCACTATTCTGGCAGTTTAGTGATATTTCCACATTTATGGTTCAGACTGTCTTGAAATAAAATCCTGAGTCCTCAATGACCGAGACAAGACCGAGTACAAATGCAGTCGAGTCTGAGACGAGACTGACACCATCAAAAAGTGGTCTCAAGTACTACATCTTTAGCATCGACAATAAAAAACACAATTTCCACTGAAACTTTTAAGTTTAATTGGTCAGACGTGGTGATGCCAGTGTTTGGCAGCCTGGCTTCTGTCAGTCAGCCTCATGGTAGCTGTGGCTACAGTGTAGCTTACCACCACCAGTGTGTATGAATGGGTGTATGACTGTAAAGTGCTTTGGACTTCCATCAGGCCTTGATAAAGCAGTGTATATGTTCATTTGTTTTATTGCTGCATTTAAAGCCTGTAATGTATTTTAAATGCAATTTTGTTTCTTTAAATCTGTTTTTCTGCTTCTTTTGAGGTATGACAAAGATGGCGAAGATGATAGATGAGCGACAGCAGGAGCTTACCCATCAGGAGCATCGTGTGATGTTGGTCAATTCCATGAACACAGTCAAAGAGCTACTTCCCATCCTCATCTCAGGTTTAACTTTATTTATTTTTTTTATTAATACACATACTTAACCTTGAGGATTTTTTTTTAGAATTGTGTAATAATTTTTTTTCTTTACATTTCAGGTATAAAAATCTTTGTAACAACCAAGACATCCGGGAGCCAGGGTGTGGAAGAGGCCTTAAAGAACCGGAACTTCACTTTTGAAAAGATGAGTGCCGAGATAAATGAGATCATCAGAGTTCTGCAGCTTACATCCTGGGATGAAGATGCCTGGGCCAACAAGGTAAGGGCAATGAATAGTTTTCATAAGTTTGTTATTGTTTTGCTCACACATGAATTGGCTAAATGTATTTTATGTTTATGTTATTTAAGAAGGAAGGTTAAATTACCAACTGTAGTAATTAAGTCTGTACCAGATCCCTGGAGCATTTAGTGAACAGATGGTTGGATATAATACCATCTGTTTGAGTCCAAGGTGCAGTTTGTAATGACACTCGTGCATCTTAATACGGCATGTTGTCCAAATTTGTATGAAGTGATAAAAAGCTGCATATTGTTGCATGTTATTAAGTCATGAAAGTAATTTATAGCAATCATTAAAAAAGACTTGCACTGGAAAAATTGATCACATTGCTTTGAGATGCTCAAAATTGTCAGCTTTTAGTTTGATACATTTTTTTTTATTAAAAACAAATGGCAGTAGTGATTTTAAAAACAGCCTCACAACTTTACAGCATATTCCATGTGGCTGCCTCATACTTAAACTTTTTCTACCTTTAGGCTTTCTTACATTTAGTAATAAAGCAGCCATACTTTCACTTTCTGTGTATCTCTGTACAGGTGATTCTTTGTCAAATTCTTTAATCTTTTTCAGCTCTGCCTTTTCTATTTCTTTACTGTCCTGATGCATTAGGAAAGGTTTCTTGCATGAAACTTTTTATTTTTTATTTTTTACTTTTTGTTGTAGCTGCTGTTGGTCGGTACGTCTAGTTGAATGTTTGCATTTATGTTGTTCCTTCTTTGTTTTTTGCTGTTTGTTCTCACTTCACTCCCTGTAGAAGGTAAGCYCCACCTGTCACTCCCTGGTTGTGCAGCTGCAGCATGTCTGACAGATGAGTGTGCTGTATTGTGCTTTTGTGGTGCCACTGAGTGCTTTTTGAGTTATTAGACAGCGATAATTGACTTTAGTTTCAGGTTTTATGTACCAYCAAAGAAACATGGCTTTTTATGACTTTTAAAGGTTGGATTGCTGAAAATCTATGATCTATTTAGTGTTTTTTGTTGGATTTTTCAAAATTTTTATTTACTTTTTCCATAATAACACAACATTGTCAGCATCTGTGTCCTTCTGTGACTTTAAACACTGCTACCCCCTCGATCCACTGAGTTATTGATTGACCCGACTCATGCAGTATAGATTTTAGTGTCATTAAGGAGAAATCTCTAAAGGTTAATGAACATAAAGTTTCTCCTGATGAAACAGACTGTCATGCTCTGTTTTTATCTTACAAATATTGCCTAGTTTGTCTGTTGTTTGTTAGCATTTAATATCAGTGCAAAAATCTCCTATGGTTCATTTCTTTCAGTTTACTTATCTGGTCTTTTTTAAATATAATACGTTACATTAGAACAGCAGCATGCTCTGCACGACTGAGCTGTCAACTAAAACAACCACAAAGCTCTGTTGCTACTTCACATCTTTTTACTTCCTCTTATTTTTTTTCTTTTTACTCATCAGTTCACAATAACAGGATATTCAAGCTTGTCTGATTTTCCTATTTTGACATCAGCTTAAGTTTGAACCATTTTGTGTGCTACATATTTGTAAAACAAATTTAAGTCTGCCTGGTTTGCTTTGAAACTCATTTTGAACTATGAATATTTGAGCTGCATTTAGAAGAATTTGGGTTTCGTACTATAAGGAAAAAGGTAAATGTAACCACTCATTCCTCTGATGCGGTCTCATGCCTCATGCTCCTACAGGACTCTGCTTTGTTTTTTATTTTTCTGCAATGAGAGGTCTCATTGTTGACCAAGTCAGATAAACTGTTGTATTTCTATCCACTCTGAATGAGATACAATGGAGAAAAATTGTTTGGCTTTTATAACATGACACACTGTATATTGACCATGGCAAGGAAAGATGGAAACAGCATGGTTTGAACCGTTTTGCCTGCCAGATGTTGAGCAGTGCTGGGATTTTAGACAGATGTTTCTTTTACTGCAAAAACCAAACATTTTGGTTTAATCATAACAATGACCAGAGCTTCAATACTTTGCCTGACCAAGGAACAGGCTCAGAGTGAACTATTGGAGAGTAAAATAACTAAAAGCTTAGATTTATTTAGTCACAACTCGTACAGTATTTTACAAAATTTTACAGAAATCCTGACTACATACTGTATTTATGAAGCAATTTTTTCCATTCATTTCTTTGGAGAGTAACAGTTTTTTTTTTTCAAACCCGAAGGACACGGAAGCCATGAAGAGAGCTCTAGGGTTGATTGACTCAAAGATGGGTCAGGCTAAAAACTGGCTGAGGGATCCAAATGCTCCACCAGGTAAGAAAACAATCTACTCTTCTGCTTTTAACTACTGATTCTGTAGCTAGTCACACTAGGGCTGTGCCAAAATTCAGAGGCTGCATCCTTCAAAGYCYGAATTCAAAGGCTGACTATGTCACAACGATGCGCTGAAGGCTGTCCAAATTTGAAGGCTCCTCCAGTTGYGGCCCACAGTTGCATCCTCCTTTTTCTGATGATTTCAGGATTGGGTCTGGTGCATCCTTCACAGCCAACCCAATCCAAAGATGCATTGCAGGCTGACCGGGAGATGGTGAACTAATTAATCTTGTTGTGAACACTGTGACCTGTGGCAAATCCCTTAGTTCTTCATGTATTGCCTCTAAGCTAAGTTGTAAATGTATATYAATAACATTGATAATATAAATATTAATGTTTTTTGTTATTTTTGATTAAGTTTCGATCTTCATTGCTTCAGTTTAGCGCAGTTACAGTTGTTAAGCAACAGGACATATGCCTGTAAGGGCAGGAATAAAGCTGAAGGCTAGACCAATCAAAATCACAGCCACGCACTTCTGGCCTCTGTGGTTGACAAACGACCTGGCCCAAGAAGACCAGATGGGCCGGGTCCTTCAAAGGATGCAAACACTGAATTTATACTCGGCCAACATCTAACACAGKGGTCTCCAACCAGTARCTCCTGAGCTCATTTAAAGTAGCTCTTCAGTCCTAGTAAAATTTAATTTGTCACTGGCCAAACAAACTTTCACTTAATTCCTATCAATCTATAGATGTCCCTTCCCCATGGTTGTCAATCAAACAGTTTAGGGTTCAGTATGGTTGTTTGGTGTTCGTTTTTGCACACACCTTTTATAGCCCCTTGAGACACACTGTGCCAAACTCCTGGGGAACTCCTTAAGTTTAAGTTTAAAATGAAATGTTGCAAAAAAGTGGCTCTCGGACTATTCCATTTTGTGAAAGTAGTTCTTAAGGAAAAAAGKTTGGAGACCCCTGACGCTGACGGTTTATCTGACTTCATCCGTTTTGCTTCCAGGCGATGCTGGCGAGCAGGCCGTCCGACAGATCCTGGATGAAGCTGGTAAAGTTGGTGAACTTTGTGCTGGGAAGGAGCGCAGAGATATCCTGGGCACGGCTAAAACCCTGGGTCAGATGACGGACCAGGTGTCTGACATGAGAGCTAGGTAGTGTTCATCATGAATGACATCACATTTATTCTTTTTTACTGGGACAATCACATTTAGTTTATGTCTCTCACTCAATTTCTTTTCATTAGATTTTTATGTTTATTTGAAAAAAGTTTCTATTTTCATTGTGAATGGTTTTAATAAATGCTCTTCACATGCATGGGCTTCATTTTGCATCCCTATGGGCTTAGTAATGCTATTGCAGTAATCATATTAGAGGGATTATAGTGTGTAACTGTGGAAGTGCTTGTTATCCTTTTGATATGAAATCTGATTGTCACCAGAGACTGGCTCACCTCAGATCAGAAGCAGCTGTAAGAGGTTAATCATTTCCTCTACTTTCACACCTTATTAAAAACACTCCTCCGAAGATTAAGTAAACGAGTTAGGAAGTATTTTTCATAAACAAGACCTGGAGGTCTAAAGGTCTGAGTAAACAAACAGAACCAGTAGGTGTGTCTTTTTAAGGGCGGTAATGGCACACATAATTACATCCAGATGCTTTTTGTGTACACCAGAGGTCAAGGAGCATCCCCAGCAGCCATACAGAAGGCACAGCAGGTATCCCAGGGGCTCGATGTGCTCACAAACAAGGTGCAAAACGCTGCTCGCAAACTGGAGGCCATGACGAACTCCAAGCAGGCCATCGCCAAACGGATCGATGCTGCACAAGTGAGGGATTACTTCTTAGCCGAGAGCTCACAAAGCAGAGACTGTAACAGCCATTTTATGGAGTCTTAATTGTGTTTTGTCTTCACCTTGTTCTGCAGAGCTGGCTCGCAGACCCCAATGGCGGCCCAGAGGGAGAGGAGAACATCAAAGCCCTCCTAAATGAAGCCAGAAAGATTGCAGATCTGTGCGAGGACCCCAAAGAACGAGATGAGATTTTGCGCTCAGTTGGAGAGCTGGCTGCCATGACTGCAAAGCTTTCTGATCTCAGAAGACAGTAAGTTAACTTCCTTCTGCAACGTTAATCACGTTTATATTTGAAGTTCAATCTTGGATTAAKGACCAGCTGGTTAAATGAACTCAATTTAATTTCTTATTCAGGGTTCCTGCAGATMCTTAAAAAGTYTTATMAGGCCTTGAATTCATCAATCCAAAAWWARGSCYTWAWTWRSCYTWAAAWKKYTTWAAWWMAWYYTTWRRARKYYTWAARAWKKTWA